CCACAGGGTTACAATAGGCTATCCAGTAAAAATACTATGGTGAGATCATGCCAGAAATACGGCATAACTGGAACTAGCAACAGTAACCCCCAGTCTTGTCTTGATTGGTTGCTGTTAATTAAGTATCCAGAATAACATGAGTAATTCAAATTATTTCAACATGCACTGCTTTGTATATCTGTCAACAGATTTTTTTTTTCTTTTTTTTAAAACCAGTAACCACTTACTCATAATGGACATTCAGAGAAAGATAAATTACTACCTTGTGAGAAAGGAAAAGATTATGAGCTTCATTCACTACTGCAAAGATATTCAATGCCTTGGATGGAAGAGAGCGCACAGTAGCTAAGCATAGTTAATCAAGATTCAAAAAGGAAAGTAGAGAACTCCAATATTCTCCCTTCTCTTCTATTCACTGGAAAAAAAAGAGCACTAATCCACCACTAAATGCAGAATCAAGAAATCCGATTCCCTTTTCCCACCCTCTCTCCTCCCTTCCCCCAGCTCCAAAAGCAGAATGTGCATAGAAGGACTTCCCGTACTGAGTGTAGCACCTGGGTAATTATGAATTACAACTGTGCAAACCACTGTACTAAATAGAGATGCCTGCCACTTAATTAAACCCTTTCTTAGAGAGGAAATGCATGCACATTCACACTATCTCCTCTTCTTAATTGGTCTCAGACACTGCAGGAAGTTAGTCCCCAAGATTTGTCAGCCAGCCAGCCCACAGATGTTTGAGAAAGAAAACCAGGTCAGCATTAACAGGTTCACTACTTCTGCTCGAGGCGACAGGTCAGCAGATCAGTGTCTGCTGTCTGCAGCTGGCAGGCTCCACCTCGGGAAAATGGTCCTTAAGCACTGGCCTGAATTCCTGTCAAACGTGCACTTCCCTTCACAGGCCTGGACAGGGAGCACAGCAAACAGCCACGGCAGCTTAATGTGACACCGTGGTTGGATCCACCCTGCAGACTGAAGGACACTACAGGCACTCTCCAAACCCAGGTTTCAGTGAACTCAGAGTCCCTCCAGATCAGCCTCACGCCATCAGCACCAGGGGGCCAAGACTTGCCTTACCACAGAACACTAATCAGATGCAACTCAAGAACGTCCAAACCCGTGACTGGAGTCTCAGAACTCCACAGGAGAGCCCAAGCACACTTCTCTCTGATGTATCAGCCTCATCTCATTTCCTTACTGTATTCCATGGCCCTTCAGAAAAAGATATCTGATCTCTCCACTGTGCCCCTGTGATGGAAGAGACTAAAATGATTCTGAGGAGTACTGGGAATAAAATCTTTTGCTTTATGCCACACACAAACACCAGGTCTGAGCTGACAGTACCACTGGCAACAGAAAATGGTGCTCAAAAAAGTAAAGACTCAAGTAAGTAATGATCAATATATGTGATCACCAATATAAAATAATCCCGCTGTGTTTACAAAGATCTTTGAGCCCAGCAGGTGAATATGTAACATCAATAGCCACTACTTCCAATTGAAACAAAAACAAACAACAAATAAAGAAAACCCCACTTCACACATTACTGTTTATTCTGTCAAAAAAGGAAAGAAAAGCTTGGACTAAAACTCCTCTGAAGCTGTTGTTTGTGGTCCACCTGTCAGCCTTCACCAATTTGTGTAACTTTTTAGCCAGACTTCAACCTTTCAGAACTTGCAATCTTCTGCCACTTTTGGAAAAACACAGACAAATTTAGTATTAAACTCTGTAAGCTGCTATCAGTGACTAAAAGTGCCTTCAGTATCTGAGTTACTGCCTCATCTTTAACCCATACCTGATGCACATCTTTTTGCATCACTCTGTACTCCAGGCTGTATCTGTTTATGGGTAGTAAAATCACCTAATTCATTAAAGGACAAAAGCAATATCAACCAAACACAGACAAACAGCAGCAAAGCAGGCTTATCTAGATTAATAGCTCAGGGAACAAGAACCCTCATTTTTTATTTGGGCATCTTCTGCATGCTGCAGAAGGGAAAGTCGGAACAACAACAGTGCTGCTCCAAGAATGGAATTCCAAGGCCTGGGGTGGGGAGAAAAGAACCAGGTTGTGAAGAACTCCCATTAAACAAGATAAAAACGAAGAGTATGGGGTGTGAATATGAGCAGAGTTGGTTAGAGAAATACTTTATTCTGTATTCCATTAAGACAAATCAGCACAAATCTTTTTCATACCTAGTTACAACCCCGAGCACTGGGCAAGGAGGCAGCGACTGTAGCATTCAACAGATCTTAAAAGTTCTGACAGCAGGAGTTAGCAATTTTCCGTGGACCAGCTGCCCCGCTGATGGATTCCCACCAGGATGAGATCCCCAGGCTGGAGCAGGAGCCCGTTTCTCCCGCAGCAGGAGAACGGGCGCCATCTCCTGGGTGCTTTTGCGCACTGTCACCCAAATAAAGCCCCTGCACCTCTCACCCAAAACCTTCCTGAAATATCTTTCTGATAAATTACGTGATGTTTAACGGCAGTCAAGGAATTACCTGGAAAAATATCTCTAAGCTACTAGTCCAACTCTGAAACAACAACCGAGCCTGTCACGATTAGCACGGTTTGTCAGTGAAGTCTGTCAACAACTCAACAACACAAATACTGGATTTTGAAGAAATAAAAACTACATCAGCTCCTCCTGGAGAAATGGGAGTACAAGCAGTTTGTTTTCTTGACGCAACCCTTTCTTAATAACAAATTCCTATAAGAACCATGCATAAATGTCCTTTTCTAGGGGAGTAAACTCCAAAGTAAATAGAACTTTCTACTCGCAGAGCGAGAATTTCAACATTTTGTGTATTTTTCCCTTTACAGTTGAAACCAATCCTACAGCTGGAATACCAGGTCAGAGCAACACATGACAAGTGAATGAAAATCCCTGGCAGCGTAGCAGTAACATACAAAAAAGTCCTACATCCACAATAGCCAACTATACCACAAAGTAGGTAATAAGAAGCTCAAGAAATCAAAAGTAATTGAACACAAAAAAAGGTTATATAGATTTATAGTGTATACACATGAACCACATATATAACTGTGATGTGTACTATTTTATTATCTGGCTATTGTGCAGCTTACAGGGATATTATGCTCTAGAGCTACAGCTGTCTTTGTTTCCACTGTTTATGACAGAGAAAAGCCCAGGAGCTTACAAGTGGAATTCAGAACTAGCAAACATAAGATTAGCCAGAGTAAACTGTTAATGAACTTGTTTTCCCCCCCACAAGGTGAAGCATTATAAACACTTAGTTCGCTCTTTCATTGTCACCAAAAAGAGACCAGTACTAAAAACAGTAGGATTACCACTACACTCCTGAAAGCTGCACCTCCTTCCCAAGTATTATTACATAAAATTACACTGGAAGGGCTGATCGTGAGCCAATCTGACAAAAAGCCTGCTGGGAGCAGGCAATCAGTGAACAGAAACCACTNNAAAGAAAGAAAAAAAAAAAAAAAAAAAAAAAAAAAAAAAAAAAAAAAAAAAAAAAAAAAGCCAAGAAAAAAAAAAAAAAACAGTGAGGGAGGCAGGGGGGAGTCATCCAGTCCCACTTGCTCCAATTGCATACACAAGGTGATTTTTCTCAAGAGCAATTCCCCTTTCTGTATGAGAAGGCGACATTAATAGCACTAAACAATATGGCCCAATCAAAAACCTAACACTTCACAGTGAATATTCTGATTTTAAATGAAGGAGTTATTAGACTTCAACAGGCAGAATCACTTGGTTCCATTTCTCTCCCAGTGGGAAATTACCTCGTTAAACCTTTAACAGCTTGAGGTAAGTAAAAAGCTTTTACTCCAACGTCTGATAGGGAAGTTTTGTGAAAAGGATTCCTACAATTTCTGTCCATAGGAGATTTAGCACAATTCCATCTTCCTGTAAATGTCTGTGTCCCCCAGCAGATGAAGGAGAGAACCTCAAGCATGCTACGTACCAGCCTGCCTCTGGAAAAGGTTCATTATTCTCATTAAACAGAAAACACTGAGAGAGTTAAGGAGTTGGAACACAAGTACCTTTTACATGAAGCAACACTGGGCCCAAACCAGATGTGCATATCCAAACAATCCCAGCACTGCGCAGACATTGCTCTGTTGTCGGATACATGAACAGAATAAAGAGGCAAGTGGCAAAAGGAGGTTCTGCTGCACAGGTTTCAGCTCTGACCCAACATGAAAGGTGATCTGTACTATGGTGCTCATGTCAAGACAGTTATTTACAAAGAAGCATCTCTACTTCCAGTGTAATGACAGTGTAAACATTTAGAGAAAATAGAGCAGTGTTGAAACATGGCACACGAAAGCTTCCTAGCTACTCAGAAAACTTTCTGCAATGGAAGGAAATGATCAGAAGATGCACCATTTCCAATCCCTCTTTATACCACAAACACAACAGAGACCTTAAAAAAATCTGTTTGACTGCTCCAGATGTCAGAAAGAGCTGTTATGTACCAGTACACAGACCAGCTGGTGTTACAAACACCACTGGGAAGTGGGGTTTGACAAAATAACTAAATTAACAACAGTTCTTCAGCTGTTTTAGGGAAGAAAAGTCACAACAGGATCTAGCAGCTTATTTTGATTAGCTGATTTGATATCCAGATATCAAAGGAAATATATTTACAACAATTTGTCACAAGTGACATATTCTCGCCTCCGGACACAGCCTAAAATTATTAGAAATTCACTTACTAAACAAGCAGAATCTCAAAACTGAATGCAGCTATACCCAAAAAGTTCAAAGAACTCAAAACTGAAGCATGGCCTCAGAGACACTGGTCAAGCTGACTTGGTGAAAAACCTTTGTTAGTTCCCAGAGATACTTTAAAACAGTGTATATCTTATTTTCTTCTCATATATAACAGAAAGTACTGGAAGACCTTACATATGAAGAAGATCTAGTAAGCAAGCATGACCAACACTTCAGAGATCTGAAGATGAAGAGGGAAGTGGTTTAAAAGTCTTATCTCCCTTCAAAGCTGTGAAAACATACCTGATACTTAAGCCAGTGCTCCGGTCCAGTTTCTCCCAGCTTTGTAATTTTGCCAGAAGTTTCTAAAGCAAAGATAAAAAGTACAGTTAGACTCAGATGAATGTTCTAGTAGCTGATTTTCCAGAGTTTTCTCAGATTCCTCCATTCAAAGTCAGTGTCATTCCTTTTTCTGTGGATTTCATGATCTTATCTAGCACCGTGTCATTCATCTGAGACACCATCGTGGCCCCACAGCATTTGTGGTGATCAAAGTGGGTGTGGAGGTTCTCACCACACACCTGTTCAACATCACCATGTCTGGGCAGAGCCTGACATCACAAAAAGCCTCTCCAGCAGAGGAAATGTGGAAGAAATAGAAAGGTCAAAGAAGACACCACGGTAAGATTGCTCTTTACACAAAATCTCCACCTGAACAACAGAAATCCTTTTGCCTTTTACACCTTCATTGCCATAATTCCCCTCATGCTGACTTTTCAGCTTGGGAATGCCTCCCTTCCAGCCCACTAATTAAAAGAGGTATCACATCTCAACTAACACAATACAGGAAGAGCCTAAAAGTCAGGACAGGCAATAAAGGAAACCCCTATTCTGATCCTCCACCCAGTGTTCCCAGCTCCTCACCTCATTTTCCAGTTCCACAGTCACCAGCTGCGCTTGGACCTTCTCGTAGCGTTCCAGTTTTCTTTGGAGACCTTCTACCTCCTCTTTAAGCAACCCATTGTTCTCTTTCATTTCCCTGTGGTGAAGAGGCAGACAACTACTGAAGATCCATGCAACACAATTCCCTCCCACAAACTTCCAGATACACACGGATTGACCAGGAAATCATGACACTGATATTCAGTGTTTCATTTCTATAACCTTCACTGCAAAGCCACTGCTCCACAAAACCCTGAAGTTTTATTGAACTTATTTTTGTCTACTCTAAGCACCATCCTAGTTAAGCCCAAACCAAACTGAAGTTTTATATCTGCTTTTACTATTTGACAAAATGAGGGTAGCAGAAGACTCCCAACTCCACTGTTCAGTCCAGCTGGATGCAGGGCTGGAACACAGCAAGCACTACAAACCTGGTTTTTGAACAAGCATTGAGACTGCTTGGTTTTACTTTAATAGAGGTGTGCAAGGGTGAAATAAAACCATTTAGCAACAAACGACCTTTAATCTGTTGATTAAAAAAAACAAGCATGAGAAAAAAAAAAATTCAAGATAAACAATTCAAAATGACAATGAAACAACTACGAAACCAAAACCAAGAAAAACTACTTAATTGTTAAAAAGAAAAAGCTAGCAGGACAACTTGTGCAATTTTAAAAAAAATAAATAAAACAACCCACACACAAATCATTTTTAGGCAAGTTATTTCATAGCACATTTAATTTAATTTTTCAAATCAACCACCACTTTAGAAATCCAGAAAGCCTCCTCCACCAAGGGCTGTATCAGAGTACTTTAGAAACTCAAACAAAACACTTTCTAAACATTATGCTGGAACAGCAGGCCTTTAAAACAGTGGCAACAATAGATAAGCAAAACCAGTTATTAAAGACACATTCAGCTGCCTCTTGTCTCTACAGGGAATTCTTTCCCAAAGCTGTCTGGAGTTCATCACCACCTTTAAACATTGAATTTTGTTCTAACAAACAGAAATCATCACCCAGAACAACCAACACACATTCTAGGAGGCTCTTCTCTTCAAGAAGATTCCTCAGATCTTGTCAAATCCTCTCAAAGAGTAATCATCACAACACTGCTCAGTTCATATGCATTATTTATAGGAAATATTTAAACTTCCTTCTAAACTTTCCATGTGGAAGCACAGTAAGAGGGATTTGGAAGTGCATACAGTGCAGCTGTAGCAAGAACAGAAGAGCACAGGATAACCTTTAACAACTGAACCTTTCTTTCACCTGAAGTAGGCGTTTTCCTCCCTGAGCTGGCGTAATTCCCGCTCCATTTTTGGGAAACGAGCCAGTTCTGCCTTCATGTTCTTGACAATTAGAGCATCATGTTCCTGCTGGGATAACTTCTGCTCCAGATCCTAGAAAACATGGGATGGCAAAAGGACATCAGTGATTAAGTTGAAACTTGTAAGAACTATTTCTGCATTGTACTTTTTAAGTGCAAATCAAGGACTTGAATGGAGTCGGAAGGGAACTCAGTAGGAACATCTGTTCCCATTCACTGCTCAAAGCTGGGATGACTCGTTCCGCTTATAGAGAAGAGACCAGCCCGGGTGTTACACCTGCTTACCTTAAGTTCATAAAAAAAACACCCTCTGCTAATCATTAAAAAGACCTTTCCCTATCTCTTAAAAACCAATCTGTGATTTTCTTATCCTCTATCCCTCCGTCAGTGAAGCGCAAAGTGGGGCACTGAATGGCCCAAAAGAATTAGGAACAAGAAGAAACACAAATATGCATTTTAGCACCATGTTGCTATTTTTTTCCACTAAAAAAAAAAAAAAAGTTTATTTAGAGCTGTATTGCAGACTGATATCCTGTTTTCCATCCTTTCATCTCAGTGGAGGAAGTCTCCTCCTGCTGGCAATGATCTGGCTTCAGCACAGGCAGTGCCACTGTCAGCACCTGCTCAAACCAAAGTAACTCTCCCACAGCTACTTTTGCCAGGAAGACAAACGAAAAACATACAATCCCATCAACCTACATGCTAATTTGGAAGGACATAGCATCTCCATGCTCACATTTTAGTCAATGTGGTTTTGAAAGCTTTACAAGTAACTGCACTTTATCTTAAAGAGCTAAACCCAACTTCAGAGGAAGGATTTTATGGGAAGAAGAAAAGTACTTGTAGCTGCTGGGCTCATCATCCACCATCTGAAAAAAGATCACTCTAAAAACAGTCTCTTGCAAAGCAAACTTGTGCTGTGGCACAAGACCAAAAAGAGCATTCCCCCAGAACCCTGCACAAGGTATGAATCACCTTCCTATAGAAAAAGGGTTTGGTTTTTTTTTTTTTAATTAATTGACACAAAGGCAAAGAGTGCCATGTTATAGCTAATTGCAGACAGCCTGGTCCACTCAACCTCAGCTCCTGCTGGCCACCAACTCAGATACATGACAAATTAACCTTTTACTTCTGTTCCTCCACTGAAGGACATCAAAAACTAAAGCTTTACATAGGTCACAAAGTTTCTTACCTTAATCTTCTGTTCATATTCTGCCAGTAGGGATTGGTTTGCTTGCAGGGTCTGGATTTGTTGACTTGCCTCTTGCCATTTCCTGTCAGATGCAGACACAGAAGGTACTTAGCACCCAGAAACCATGTACCAGAAACAACCTGCATGCAGAAGTCGCTGACAAACGTAGTCAAACACCATTAACAAGGTAAATGTTAATGCTAGAGAAGATTTTGTCTCATACAGTTTCAGTCATATCATCTCCCCCTAATTTAGAGACAAAAACAATCACTCACTTTAATGATGATGCATAGAGAAAAATAATTAAAAAAAATAATCAAGCCACCTTAACTCTGAAAACAACAAATACACACTCAGAGTAAATAAACCTTCACAACTCTGAAATTGAAGAGTTCAAGTTTGTAAGCAAGGAAAAACATACTTGTAGCTCTCAACCACCCCTCCATTATGATTTAAGCCTTGATATTTTTATTCTGTTCAGTCCCTAAAGTTCACATCAGCCTTTCCCATCCATGTGCCTCCTGTTAACTCTCTACCAGGAACATGAGACATCACAAACCTCAAGTTCATGGTTCTTTTCCTCAAGGTACAATTAAATTGCACCTCAGAGTTCGTTTCAAACAACAGTTACAACCTGCACATCCAGATCAAAGAACTCCTTTGAAGAGAGGAAATCAAACGCTGTTGAAAGTTTTCTGAGTGATGACACCTGCACAAGACTCAAGTTTTGTTTGCCTTTTTCCCCCTACAGTCATTCATCCCCTGCTTACTTTTTTTCAACATCCAGCTGTTCCATCAGTTCCTGCTTCTGAGAGTCTTGGCTTGTCATCTGCATCTCTTGGTTCATTATATTCCATTGCAGCTCTGATATTTTTCCTTTTAATACGGTGATTGTCTGAATTAATGGAAGAAAAAAAGCAGAAACACACAAGGTTATGACTCTCCAAGCTGGATATAATGCATGGTGATATAAATCATTTCCAACTAAAAAGTACAAACACTGAATCCAGAAACAATCCCACTCTCCCAAACCTTTACACCTGGAAACTTACCTCAAACAAAGGTAAGAGAAAATCATTTAGCAGCTTTCATTTGTCACCCAAATGGTCATTTCCATTACCTATTACATGAGTGACCTCAAACTTGCATGAAAAATATCAAGCTTCAAAGTTAGATGATGATAAAACATAAGTACATGTATTAAAGTAAAAAATTATCCCACAACCATTCCAAATGTATTTTGTCTGGGTTTCAAAATTTAAAATGCCTCAACCAAATACCAGAGGCATTACAGTTTCCTTAGAATTAGAGGCCAGTGGTTTTTAGGATTTTTTTCTAAGTATCTTAACTCCAAAGAAAAGCTCGCAGGTCATGTAACCTGACTTCTGAACCTTGGTGCTGTATGTTGCCTTGCACTTTTTTTCCTCCTTCTCCACATCAACTTGTCCAGGATATCTCTTCTCCTTCTGACCTGCTCACTTGTGTCTGGGCTTGGTTTGGTTCTAAACTTTGACAGCAAGGACACACACCACCAGGGTTTATTAACTTCCAGGTGATGAACACAGTGATTGCAATTATTTTGTTTGGGCTTTTTTTTTTTTTATCAAAAAGGGCATTTTCAATTCACAAGAACTGCAAAGTCATCAGAAGCCAGGAACGGATTAAAAATTACTCTGTTCTTACCTCATTGGCTTCAGCTAATTTGCTCTCCTTCTCTTGCAGCTTCTTACTCATTGTCTCCATGCTCTTCTTGTAGGATCTGTTCATCTCCATTTGTTCTTTCAGTTTATTTTCAGCTTCTGTTTCCCTTTCCTGATATTGCTTTATGCGTGTGAGCAGCTCCTGGTTACGGTCGGCCTCTCGCTTGCCAAGTAAAAGAAAAATGCAAAGAGACATAAGAAGGAAGAAGCACAAAATTAAAGCCATTTTTCCCTTCTCCTGTCTTCATTCCTCATCACCATGGTCACCAAGGCATCCTCAGACCACAGCTTTAACCTTTAACCTTTGTTGCACTGGCAAGGACAAAAATCTTACCAGCAGCAACTCAATGTCAAGAGCCACCCAGGCCAATGCAGCTGGAAAAATAAGAGACAGAGTCTTCCAGATCTCTTACACTAATTCATGACTATGAGAATATAAATGTGGCTTCAGAGATTCCACTGCACACCTTCCAGCAGATCAGCAGATCTCCAGCAGAAGACATTCTGATCTCCAATTTAAAGCTGGCCCATGCACAGCAAATTGGCTTTCAGAAACTCAGACCTCAACAGTTGGGTTAATAAGACAAACTTCCCTCTGCAGCTTCAGGAAACTGTATGAGGCCATTTAAAAGAGAAGAAACAGGGTTTAAATGCACAGCTTCACCAACTAATGCGATAAATATTTTTGCACTTTGACCACCTTTCATACACCATTTCGGTTTATTCCTACCACAAATTAATTCTTGTTGAAAAAATGCATAGTAAATTGCTTTACTAATCAAAGCAAATCGAGACATGGATTTACATAGTAAACAAGGATTATGCAAAGCAATGTGAGGTTCCTAAAACCTTTATCCACATGACTCAGAAAAACACAGAATCTGAGCAGGGTAATTACCAGAGTGCTGGATTAGTGCTGCTCCCTTTTTTTGTACCAGTATTTCAAGGGTTTCTGTGACTGACTCAGCTACATTGCAGTTTGAACTCTTCCTGGCTTAATCCCACATCACTTGACTTCAGAGGAACAAGGAATTTAGTCACTGACTCGCTGTTTCACAGCTACACACTAAATCTGTCACCCAGCATCCTTGTAAAATACAACAAAACGTGCTTATAATCAGCCACATATGAGACTTTTATTATGCCACAAGACCCACTGATCTACTGCTCATTCCAGTAAGGTCGTTAAGCAAACATATGTGGGCATAAAAGCAGAAACCAATAAAAGCTATCAGTCCCTGAGTGAGGCTCACTGTTTTATCAGTGCAGGCTCCCTTGTGTGACACTGCATGGCTGGCACTGCTGCCATTCCAATTAATTACAGTCACACAAACTAAATGCTTGCAATTGTGCCAGTAGAAGTTTAAATTCAGCTAGGAGAAAAATTATTAAATACTTCTGGGGGAAACAAATAGCAAACTCCTTTTATTACTGCTACCCATGATAACTGTAGTGCTAAACTAACAGAACCCAGTGATCAGATCATGAGCCTGTCAACCTAACAAGGCTTCAAGTTCACACTCTTGTGCACAGCAGCAAGTTGGTGCAATACACTGCAGGGGGAATCTGTAAAGCAGAACAGCTGGTGCTGGGAACTTGACACCCACATCAGCAGCACCACCAGCTCTGCAGTAAATGCAAACACAGTAAATGCATTCCAGGAGCATCTACTACAGATTCAGTGAAGCCCTGCTCTGAAGACAGTGTCTATTAGCAGGTGGAGAACACCAGGCTTGCACCCCTCAGCTAAGCTTCATTCCAAAAAGAAGTTGACTACGCACATTCTGAGACATTCCACTGCAAAGCACAGCTCGTGAGAAGTGGAGAGGATATCCCTGACCCAAACCAAACTGCAGATGCTGCACAGGTGTTCTGACTCAGGCCTGTGATTGTGATTCCAAGCCACCACCACTCACCTCATAGTTCCTGGCGTTGGTGTTGGCTGCCTTCTCCAGCTCGATGCGGGCGCGCTTGTGGCTGAGCTCCATCTGCATCTTCTCCCGCTCCACCTGCAGCAGCTGGGATTTGGAGTGGATCTGCCCAGCTTGCTCTTCCAGCTGGCCGGTTCATGTGTGGAAAGGGACATTGCACCCAGTTAACAGCACAGCAATAATAAGGCTGGGTGGTGCCCCCCACCCTGTGCTGCTTCAGCTGACATTTATGTGCCATTTTACAAAGCACCAGGAAACCATCACCAAATTTGTGGTACTTCTCACACCAGCTGCAGCTGGGGAACCACACCCTTTTAAAAAAAGCAAGCTTATTTTATACCTATAGACTGAAATAGAAATTAGGATAAAGAAGAGAGAAACTTCATTCCAGCCTAATAAACAGTCCTCAGGATCCAAGATGATCCATTATGAGCATGAAGCAGCTAAGAGGAAAAAAAAAAGTAAAACACAAAGGTGGATGCAAACAGAAGTGGACACAAACTGTTTGCATATCAAAGCCACACTGCTCTATGTGTCCAGGCAAAGAAACCTCATTATGAAAAAAAAAAAGGTAACAAACTGTCTCACTAGAAAAATGTTAACAGATCTAAAGCTCCTCTGTTCAGCAAAATGAAAATAACTTACAATTTAATTACCTGAGCTGGTTCACAGATAGAACTTGCAGGGAATAATTTCAAAGCACCTTTCTTATTCTTTTACAAAGCAGAAATAAGTATGCCTGACACTTTAAAAAAATTAAATATTTTCTGGAAAATATTTCAGAATGTTGACCAAAAGCAAGATTCCATTAGTGAGCTTGTGTGAACATCAGCTTCAGAAAGAATGGTCAGATCTGAATGAAATAAATCCTGATTCCTGGAATCAAAAGGAGCACACTGATGAGGACACCTCACCTGCATCCTCTGCTGGTACTGGATCTGCAAGGAGCTCTGAGATGGTCCTGGTGTGGCCAGCCCAGACACCCCCTCCATTCGCTGAGATATAAAGTGGTTGAGGGATTTGAGGGTGGAGAAGACCGTGGTGTTATTTTCCAAGTCCTCCATGGCTGTGGAAATGGACAGAAATAGACATGAGCAAACCAGAGCACGCTGCTGTATCCTGGCTGCTCTGCTGAGGAGAGACACACCACTGTCCTGAGGAAACACTCAGTGCAAGGCCTTCCAATTTACCAGATAAAATCAACCTGCAAAGCACTGCAGGTGCATCCCAACCCAGAGAAAACACGACCCGACCTAGGCTGGAGTCACAGGTCTCTGACATGAGAAACTGATGCAAGGCAGGCTGTTCTTCCCCGAGCTTTCTACACAAAATGGTCTGATTTTATTTAAATACATTCTCCCCTGAATCTTGGCCTATAAACGTACAAATAAAAGCTGTCACAAGCTGTACAAAATTGAATTTTCTTTTCTGCAAGACAACTTAATATTGTAGGACAGAAGAACCTACAGCAGGCAACTATAATAAACAGAACTCATTACTCTTCCCCCAAATGTTTGAAGCTGATGGGGGAGGAGAACTAATTCCACATTAGCAGCAAACCCTTCCTTCCACTCAACTTGCTCCTGGCTTCCCAAAAGCACTCTGGAAGCACCAACTTCCAGCAACAAGTCTTCCCCAGTTCACAGACCCCTTCTGTGAGTAAAACCGCATCTCCTCGTTCATGTTAAGAGTTTCTGCAAACCCATCAGACTCAGAGGGACCGAAGACCAACCAGGCCTGCAGCTCCGGAACGCCAGCGAGGCTTCCCAGGAGACTTCGGGGAGCCTTCAGGGGAGTCCCTGCAGTGACTGCGCGCTCCATAAAGCCCAGGATCACGAAAGGCAGCCACAACACTCACAGGGCTTGTGGCGCCGGGGGACACGCTCCTGGAGCCACCTGCAGGCTCCCGCACTCTCGGTTATTCCTTGGATTTGTATCATCGCGAAGAGGGGGCGTAACAGCAGCCCCCGGGCGGCAGAGCAGCCAAAACCCGGGAGAACGCGCTTATTCAAACCACGCACACACGAATCACGGAGAGCGCCCTGCCCACAGGGGGCCTGAGGCAGGCAAGCCTGTCCTCAACCCCACTGAAAACGAGGAATCGCGGGCTCAGAAACCCCCGCGGCCGAGGGACCCTCAGGGTTCCCGGGGACCCCCCCCAGCCCGGCAGCGGCGGGCACGGGGGTGCTCGGGGGCTCGGCCGCGCGGCTGCAGGAGGGCATGAGCGGGGTGGGACCGGTGGGATCCATCCATCCCTATCCATCCCCATCCATCCCCGCTCACCGGCGCGCGCCCCGCTTGGATCTCCCTCCTCGCCCCGGCCACGGGATCTCACGGGAACGCCCCGCCCCGCTCTCGCGAGAACTGCCCGCCGTAAGGACGGGACTAGGCGCGCACTCCCGCCCTACCGTAATTCCTCCCCGCTCGGCCTCTTGGCAACTCGCCCCCCTCCACTCCCCAAAAATCCCCTTGCGCCCTCCTGCTCGGTCAGAGCCCCCCGGCCCCTCTGCAGCTGCAGCCGGAGGAGCAGAGGAGAAGGCACATGCTCTGCCGGCTCCCATTCCCACTGCGAATCCCAGGTCATAATATTTTTCAAGGAGCGACTGACTTAATTTTTTTTTTTTTTACTACCCAACATGCTGCTCCCCAGTTTACGCTGTTGGCTTGACACTGCCACACACTCCCTTTCAGTAAGGAAATCCAGATTGGAAGGTTTCAAATCACTTAAAACGAATAAATCTGTCAGCAGTCCCAAAAGAGCTGTTTACGATTTGGAAGCCTTAAAACTACCCAGTGCTCCCAGCTCCTTGTATAACCCATGCCACAGTCAGCCTGGAAAAAGCACTATTTACTATAAAAGTTGCCATTTCCAGATAAGGCAGTGGGTAAATTTATTTGTGCATACATATTTCTGGCAATTCAATCAGTTATTCTCCCTGTCTGGGAGAATCACACCTCATCTTCTCATTTCACCTGGGAACCACCACAGGTCGCACCTGAAACATGACTGAAATGATCTGCACAGCAATGACCCGACCCCCCTGCCACTGGATTTCTGAGTGCCATGAAGCAGCAATTCCTAAATATAGCCTGTGTCCACAGGAAGGGCAGCAGAGCCATTGGGCTGAACATTCCCGAGCCAGCCGTTTCTCCTGCGCTGCTGGGTTACAGATGCCAACCTGAGGATGCAGACCCTGACGCGCACAGAAACATTTTCTATTTTTATCTGTGCTAATAAATTGCACCAGCTTTTATGAGCCACTAAATAGGTTCAAAGTCCCCTCACTGTTCCCTCTGATTCTGACAAACCCCTTTATGGTCCATCTCATGTATGACATTAACAGGGCAATGATCTTCAAGCACATATTGAAAACTCACAATAACACCATTTTATTTGTTTCCATTACGCCACTCCCAGAGGTTTCCTTTCAGATTATTCCTCTCTAATCCCAACCATTTCCTCCACAGATATTCGAAAAGCATGATGGACTTTGTGAGAATCGTGGCAGGTTTTCCCAGGGTCTCCACGGTGGGATTTTTCTTCAGACACCTACCAAAATTCAGATTTCCAATCAGTGTTTGAGAATCTGCAGTTCCCAACTTTCATTTCCCTTTGTACAGCCTTGCCAAGTAATAAGATTCTGCAGACTCCTTCCGACTGGCCTGAGGCTTTATAGTTCTCACGTCCTGGAACTGCTCCTTCAGTCTGTTTTGCAGAAGACGGGCCTCAGATCCATCCCAGAACTTACAGAGCATCGTTCCCTTTGGCTTTAGAATGCTTTGGGACAGGTTCAGGAGGCCCAAGCACAGACTGATCACCCTCTGGTGATCCAGTTCCTTGATTCCCGTGGCGTTAGGTGCCATGTCGCTCAGGATAACGTCCGCCTTCCCGGCGGGAAGCAGGCTCTGGATTGTCCCCAGCATGCTGGGGTCTGCAATGTCAGTCTTCGACAGGAAAACTGCTCCTTCCAGAGGGGCAATCTGCAGGAGGTCGACGCCGAGGACGAAGCCAGTGGGGACAGCAGGATCTGTGAGGAGGAAGGACACACAAACACTCACAGTGGCTGCAAACAACCTGCACATACCTGAGCTCAGGAAACAAAACTGCCTTCCTGTCCCCTGGCAGTTTGCTGGGTGCATCTGGATGGAGGGTTTGCCATAAGCTAATCTATTCCAGACATGAAAACTCAGCTGCTTTGGATAAGCAAAAGGGGATTTTTCTTGTTTTTCTGCTGCTGTTTCAAGGCTGACAGTCCTGGACAATGGTACAGATGATAATACCTTATCTTGTAGGTATTAATGGCTGAAACCATGTAAACCAGGCACAGTGTTTACTTCCATTTTTCTAGAATGGAAATAAAAAAATCAGATAAGCAGAGGTAACTGCTGGAGGCCAAACTGATTTCAGAACTGGATGAGGGGATCTTCCCCACAACAGCTAATCAGAACACTAATACCACATGGTATGATTTTATTTCACAAATACAATTTCTTCAGACCATCTGAAGATTCACTAGGCACACACCTCACGTTTGTATCAGTGACTCTGGCATTTGCCAAGCACCCACGTTCCTTCCCCACACCGCTCCCACCGTGGGGTTTCTTAGATTTCATAGTATCTCATAGATTTCTCATACACTTCAAGAAGAGTGTCATCCCCATCCTTGCCTGCCAAAAACAAGCACGTACCAGTACCCAAGGCATTGACCCTCTGTACAGCGACCTGGCTCCAAGCACCAGGTGCTGCTCCACAGTCGAGAACAGAAAGTCCCGGCCGAAGAATATGAAGCTTGTCATCGATCTCCAGTAGTTTGAAGGCACTTCTGCAACGGTAATGCTGCTGCTTCGACGCCTTGACAAAGGGATCCTTCAAGTGCCGCTCCAACCACAGCTGCTCGGTTCCAGTTTTCTTCAGAAACCTGACTGTGGTGTGCAGACATCTGCTCACCAAACGCCAACATCTGCCCGGGAAGAAAGGCAAGTAACTGGTTAGTACATGATGACTATGTATTTCAGAAGTCTCTATAGTAATTAATTCCAACCTCGACTACAGGCTGCCCAGGGAGGTCGTGGAGTTTCCCTCTCCAGAGACATTTAAATCCCACCTGATTGTGTTCCTGTGTCCAGGTGAACCTGCCTCGGCACGGGGGTTGGACTGGATGATTGAACTCCAGAGGTCCCTTTCAACACTAACAATTGTGTGATTCTAAAAAGAAGACTCCAAATTTGAGATTTTTGGCACCTTTAGCTGTCAGGTCCAACCACAACAGAAGGACCATGTTTTGGATGAGGCCTCACGCATTACCCTTGAGGGAAGGGAGAGAAGAGTCCCCGCTCCAACACAGCTCCGGTGTGTAGGGACACGACACGGCAGAGTGACCCCAGCACGGTCCCGGGCTGCTTCAGAGGGGCTGGCGGCCCCCGTGAGCCCCCTCAGAGGAATCAAGGGGATACCCGAGCGGAGCAACCCACAGCCACAGCCACTACCCGGAGGGGACCCGGCATTTCCAGCAACCACACACCCATTAACCCACTCCTGAGGGAAACTCCGGGCGCCGGGACTACCGACACCACACCACCAACCCGCGGGGGCGGGGGGGGGGACACGGAATCTCCTCAGCGGCCCCGCCACGAACCTTCCCCCAGCGATAGCAGCACCAGCCGGCCCCGCCATGGCCGCCCGGGCCCGCCCCGTCCCGCCCCGTCCCGCCTCGTCCCGCCTCGTCCCGCCTCCCGTCACGGCGGCGGCGCGGGAAGAGCCGGGAAGTGTTGAGGCTGAGCGGGACTGAGGTGAGCGGGAGAGGCGGGGGTTTGGGGCCGAGAGGACAGGGATGGGATGTGCTGGGGGTGTTCAGGATTTGGGGAGAGGGTGGTGATCAAGGTGGTGATCAAGGCTTTGGGGAGGAGGTTTGAGGGGCTCAGGGGTTCGGGGAAGGGGTGCTGAGGGTGGTCAGGGGTTCAGGGGGGGGTTTGGAGGAACAGGGATCTGGGGAGGGGGGGATCAAAGATTTGGGAAGGGAGTGTAGGGGAATCAAAGATTTAGGGAGGGGGTGTTGGGGAGGGGCTCAGGGATTGAGGGAGGGGTTTGGGGGGGATAAGGATTTGGGGAGGCGGGATCAAAGATTTGGGGAGGGGCCCTGAGGGGCTCAGGGATTCGGGAAGGGGTGCTGAGGGTGGTCAGGGCTTCAGGGAGGGTGTGTTGAGGATGATCAGAGATTCAGGAATCGGATTTGGGGGGAACGAGGATTTGGGGAGACAGGATCAAAGATTTGGGGAGGGCGTGCTGGGGCAGCAGGAGAGCGAAGGTCAGTGGGAGTGTTAGAGAGGTACTGGGAGAGGCACCGGGGAACCAAGGGTTTAGGGACCAGGCATCGGGGGGTGGTGTGTGTTTTGAGGGGTGAGGGCCTCTCTGACAAGGGGTGCCGGGAGCCCCTGGCAAAGCCTGCCCTCCTCATCCCTCTCCCAGGAGCCATGTGCACGTCCAGACTCTTCACCCTCGTCCTGGTGGTGCAGCCACCCCGTGTCCTCCTGGGCATGAAGAAGCGCGGGTTCGGTGTCGGGCTGTGGAACGGCTTCGGGGGGAAGGTGCAGCCCGGGGAGAGCATCGAGGAGGCTGCCCGGAGGTGAGGGCTCGGTCGGCACCCCAGGGACACATGTGGGGACACAGGGTGGCCGTGGAGCTGTTGGAGGTCAGCTGCAGGTGGAGGCACCGCAGCTCGGCCGGTACCCACCAGTGCAGCCGTAAAAATGTAGTGACAAAATAGCAGAAATTCTTACTGATGAAATTCTTCTTGAATTTCATCAGTAAAAATGGAACAGTATAATTTTTAAAAATTTTAGTGCCGATTTCTAGAAGTTCTTTCTTCTGTCTGGTCATTGAAATGAAGTAGCAGATCACAGTTGAATTGCTACACTCTAAAAATCAGGTATCTTGCTCTTTACATGAATATTGCTGTTACTAAGCCGCACTTTGCCATCTCCTCAGTTCCTGATACAAACCCAGAGTTGTCCTTGCACCTGCAGGAAGATCAGTGTTGGTGTGCTCAGCTGCTACCCAGCAGCTTCTGCCCTGAACAGTCTCCTCAGCTGTGCCAGCCCAACTGCCTGAGTTCTGTGATGAGCTGACCCTGGGGACAGAAGGGTCTCTGTGCAGATGTGCCCCCAGCAGTGCAGGGCATTAACGTACCTGACACTGAGATCGTGGCTTTTTGTGTAATTTATCATCTCTGAGTGGAGGGCGGGAGATCAGTTTTGTTACTGAACTCGGCCTTCACTTGCCAGGTTCACACTGTGGCGTAAATCTAGTTATCTGATGTGGGATTTGATTTCCTGGGTGTGTGTTTACCTGTGCTGGCCCAGAGTCCAACAGTGGAGTTTTCATTCACACGAGACGTGAAGTGACAAAAGTTTCCCTGATCTCAGTTTCACAGCACAGCCAGCACCTGCTGCCTGGGTCTGTCCTCATCCCTTCACCTGCAGTTGACTCCAGAATGACACAACCAGTTCCTTCCGAGGTCATCTGTGCAGGAAACTGTCCCCAGAGCCAGGACCAGCTGGACACGCTGGCCACTTGCCTGGCAGGAACACTGCTGGTGCGCTGCTGCCTCGGGGCACAGCTCTCCTCCAGGAAGTGCCACACAGTCCAAAGGAAACTTCCCTTGCACTGAGAGTTGAGGTTTTAGGCTGTGGTTCTGTGTTGCTCTGTCGGTTGGGCTGGCAGTGGTGTCAGGTGTGAAGTCCTCCCAGCACAGATAGTTAAACATTAAGCTGAAACATAAACAAAAGCTCCCAGTACCAGAAAGATTTCTGTCCTTGGCTGGATATGACATATTCCTGTGAGCACCTGGGCACCCACAGCTCCTCAGTGGCACACTGAGCGAGTTGGTTATTTCTAATTTGCCACCTGTAATGTTTCCACTTGCTACAGACAGAGCCAAGCAGCTGATGGATAAATTGCCTGGAGAGCCATAGCAGTGTTGTGCTTTGTTCTTCAATTATCTCTGCCTGTAAAAGGAGGCTTTTAGATTCATTGCTGGAAAACTGCCTCTGTTTTAGACATAGATAGCTTCTCAGAAGATAAACTAAAATTAGCCAAGACATTAAGTTGAAATATAATTTTGAAGGATGGGATCCACGAAATCGACGCCAAAGAAAGCTGGAGCCTTGTAATGATTTCCATTACATTTTGAAATTGTTGTTACTGCCAGATAGGCAACTACATTAATTATTAACCTTAACTAAAGATACGTGGTTTCAGAGTATTCTTGTTTTCGTACATCAGAAAAACCATGACTAACTTCAAGCTAGGCTGCTTCTATTGGAGGGAGGTAAAATAAAAATAAAAAAAAAAAACCCTGAGTGTGGAGCATAAACAGAGGAAATAATTGGATGTGTGTCAAGTAGCTGTGCATGGTGGAGCGTGGCAAGGAGCTGTCTGGCACATCTCTCCAAGTGCTCTTAAAAGAGTCCTGCCTTCTGGCCTCTCGTTATGCTCCATGTGCTTCCAAGGAGCGGAAAGGGAAAGTTTACACAATTGCTTTGTGTTTTTTTTCACACTGCCTTTGAATGAGAGGTGGAATTCTTAATGCTCTGTATGCAAGTGATGTTACGGAGTGTGTAATTTAAATAAGCTTCAGTTTGCCTAAGAAGCAGCTGATTGTGTAGCAAGTACAGATGTTCTGGTGTTCATCACCTGTTTTCCCAAAATTCTAAAACCTTTAGCTTGAAGTTGGCAAAGCCTTTTGTCTAGGTGAAGTGTATCTCTGACTTCTGAGGCCACATCCAGCCACAGTCACATGACTTCACGTGCCCACTTCTCAGGGTATCTCAGAAAAGATCGGCATGTTGCAAGGACTGTAAATTACATGATCTGTTTTCCTAAATCTTCCCCTTCCAACAGACTATTTTCCTACCAGCCTCAGGGCCTGAAATAAAACCTGGTTCCCGTGTGGTGTAAGTAGACTCACGGTTCAGTGGAAGTGAGAACCCTGCTCTGTTGTACAGCTTTCACCTTTGGATCACCGGAAAGGTTTTGAATGTGCAAGTCAAGCTATTGACTGCAGGGGTTTTTTTATTCCTTCCCCTTTGATATAAAGAAATCTGTGTCTTATTCAGGGAGCTCCTGGAGGAGAGTGGACTGACTGTGGACACCTTGCACAAGATGGGTCGGATCACATTTGAATTTGTGGGCAACTCTGAACTCATGGACGTTTACGTTTTCCGGGCAGATCACTTCCATGGAGAGCCAAGAGAAACTGAGGGTAGGTAGCTGGTGGAGGGCAGGGAAGGGTGTGTGTGCTCTCTTGAGACAGCACTGCTCTTATGAAACGGAGAACCCCCAAAGGGAGGCAGCTGGGCTGCAGAGGGAAGCTGCTTTTTGGCAGATATGCAGCAAAACTTTATGAAGAAAGTCCCATGCCGATATCTTTTGTTTTCTCCCCCCAGAAATGCGGCCCCAGTGGTTTCAGCTGGATGAGGTGCCATTCAATTGCATGTGGCCAGATGACATCTACTGGTTTCCCCTGGTGCTTCAGAGAAAGTTGTTTCATGGCTATTTTAAGTTCCAGGGAATAGACACCATCCTCGAGCACAGCCTGAAAGAAGTAGAGGAAGTTTAAGAAAAGGGAAGCATTCAGCTCAAGTGCTACTGCCCACACTGGACTGCAACACCATGAGTACAACTTATGAGGGTTTCCTTGCTCAGCTCTCCAGAGACTTATTTTCCAGGTCACTGGAAAGTAAGGAAAACAAGGGGGTTTCTTAAAGCAGAAATGAAAGCACCAAGATTTTCCAAGGTGTAAAGTCCCAGGCTGTGGTATGCTTCAGTGGTTATGTGATCACAACTGTTAAAAACTTAGTGTTAACCCTTTTCTTCACGGCTGGCTACTGGTTTAGGCTTTTCCCTCATGACTGCAATTTTTTCTTTTTAATATTAAAAATATTTTTTTGGTAAAAGCTTGTGTTGTTCTGTTGTAACAGTGTTGTGAAAGCCTTTTGAAAAGTCCAGATAGAGACCCCTCCAGGGTTTTCCAGCTGAAGGCACTGCGAGGTTACGAGAGTTTAAAAAACAGAAGTTAGATGTATGGTCCTGTTTGAGCCCAGCTTTCACTCTTTCAGCTCCTGCTGCGACTTTGAACTCCTGTGAGCATTTTAGGTAAAAAATATGCTGAACAAAATCAACTTTCAGCAAGTCCCTGCTGTAAAGTGCCACCCCCCATGGCTGCACACTTTGCCACAGGGCAGGAACAGGTGACTGCTCAGCACTGATGTCAGCCCAACCCAGCAAAAGTTTAATCCAACTGTGCTAGAAATAACACATCACATATGTGGCTTCTTACACAAGTTTTGTTTTGTTTTTTTTTCTTTTTTTAAACACTTTTACAAACATATAACACTTACAGATAGAATCTTGGAATGTAATGTAGGATCTGTAAACATTTCCAGTCTACCAGCTGTAGTAATAGTTCTTTAATTCCTGCATTTGGATAAAGTGCTTCATACATAAGGCTATTTGAGCAAAGCAAAGATACAGGATATTCCAGGCAGGCAAAATTCACACCCTCTGAACAAAATTTGCTTCTTGTCTCCCCTCCAGCAGTTTTGCATAATTTATACCACTCAAAAATGCCCTTCTTCATCTGCTCAGCAAGCCACAGCTCAGACTTAGAGGAGGAA